GAACCGCGGAAGAAGGCTCGGCTTTTTGCATGGGGACTTGGAAGTATCCTGGAGGTAAAGGGATGGATATGTCGAGCAGACAGTGTACCTGGGGTCACAAGAAGAGAGAGATGAAGGGGTATCCAGGCTCATTTTGAAATAACATCACAGTGATGAGGACGGAACCTGTAGGAATGAAGGGGGCTGCGCAGAGGGAATCTACATGAAGGAGAGGGCTGGGGGCAGAATCTGCGGGAAGTATCAGGGGCATGGTCAGGAGCCTGGGCAAGAGGCTGGAGTGTCAGTGGGTGGTGTGGAGACACAGCTGATAGGTATAGGCCGCTTTTTCCTAAAGTAAGAAACGTGAGAGTTGAAGGAGGAAGAAAGGTTGAGGGAAGGTCTTAGTTTTCTCTGATGGACTAGAGTCAAGTTCATGGGGCAAGTCCTGCCACCTGAGCCCTGCTTGGCTATGAGTCATTATAGCTGCATGCTCAGCACTGCCGGTCCCGAGCCAACAGGAAGGAGTGTTTTAGCAGCATCTCAGCATTTCCTCCCACCAGCAAAGGGAGTGCTGCTCCCACGTCTGTCCTGGCGACAAGTGCACTGTGTTCAGTCTTCCCGGCTAACTCACATCGGGTATGGTCTCCACCACCGGGGAGATTCTAAGCCTGAACCTGTCTTGCTGGATAGGCCATGGCCTCTTGCTTAGACCGAGTCAGCATCCTGTATCCCTCGTATGAACTTCCATCCATAAGAACTGCTGTCTCCTAGCATGTCCATAGCACAGCTTGTTCAGATCACCTCAGCTGGCTATGTCCTCTCGTCTTGACCATCTGGACTGCTGGTCAGAGTTGGCGAATCCTTCAGCCTCAGTTATGCTCCCAGCATACCCCATGCAGCCGCTGGCTCTCTCCTTCCCTGCGCTGCGGGACTCTCAGGGAGGTGTGTGGCTGAGCCTCCACATTCACAGTGTTCGTCTGGGGAAGCAAAGCGGCTGCCGAGGGGCTTGAAGTGCAGCCGAGAGAGGGGTGGTTGTTGGTGCAGGGTCCTCGAGAAGCAGTGAGAATGAGCTCTGTTGTATGGGTTCGACTCACTGAAGAAAGGAACACATCGTCTCCAGAGATAAAATAAAAGAGAGCTAACAATATAAAAACAAGTCCTTCAAATATGTTAGACAGGGTCTTTGCTAAGGGTTTTGCCTGCATTATTATATTTAATACTTATACTAGCCCTAAATTCATCCCCAATTCACAGATAAAAAAAAACCAACAGCCTGGAGCAGGGAGATCATGGCCCAAGGTTGCAAAGGTGAGAGCTGATCGCTGGGCAGTAGTTATGGTCTGACTGCGACCTGCCCTCCTCGCTGTCCTCGGGAATGTGTGTTAACAAAGACACAGGGAATCTGCAGTGTCGGGAGCAGCCGTTGAGAAGCTAGGGTTGAATATCTCCAGGTCATAAAGAAAAGAAGGTGAGGTCATCTCCCGTGGTTGGGCTTGGGGGCTGGTGGTCTCTACAGAAGTTAAGGGGAGTAGAAAAGGTGGAACGGCCACTGTGGGTCATCCGCGGAGCCGACAGCACAGCTAAAAGGCTGCGGACAGCGGCGGGGCCCAGCTGGGGCTGGTAAGCGAATCTTGTCGTGAAACCCGTGCACGCACTACTATGAGCTTCTCCAGCGACCTCGCGCCTGGTGACAGGCCCGGAAGAGCAGTGTCACGTGCTGGTGCGCTCAGCCATCTGCGGACAAGGGATAATGGGACCCCGTGGGGCCAGGGACGGCCCGGTGGGAGCGGTGGAGGCTTGAGATGGCAGAATAGAGAGTTCACTGCGGAGGGACCAACCACGAGGAAGCCTGCAGTCAGAATGGGGCCGGGGAGAACGGCAAGGGGCAGGGGAGGCTGCCAGGAAATAGAAGCCGTTTGCAAAAAGACATCCATTGCTGTCCGCTTGTTACAGCAGCCGGGACACAGCCCTTCCCCACTCCCCCAGAGAGAGCAATAACACGTCTCAGGCCAGGATAAGGGAATGCTTATGTTCATTCTGTTTACTACCAAAGAAAATCGGGGGCTGGACAGGATGGTGAAACATGGGCCCCGGTAAACGCCTGGTGTTTGCTAACGGGGTAGCGTTACAACCAGGCTCTGCTTTCCAAAACAACACCCCCAGGAGAAAAGAAATAAAGTCATTTTTCTTTAGAGGCAGAAGACTTAACATTGCTTAACAATAACACTTAACATCGCTTAGCCCTTAGCCTCAGGCAACCTCATAACTACTAAGTGCTAGGAACTGTCTTTTTCCTGGATGGCGAGGGATCTGGATTAATTTTGTGAAGTGTCATTTAGCAGCAGGCTGCCTGGGCTCCTTAAAGACGACAGAGTTCCATGAAAGCACAGCATGGCGCCCCTTGACCTGGGCTCCTCACCATCTCCACGCTACCGGGAAGCATTTTCTCTGCATCGATGGCTCCGAATTTGGCATATAAATCCACCTAATTGAGTTTATCTTAAAAACTCCCGTGAAAACCCTCCACAAACAACCAGGAACCAAATCAGTCCTCTATAAGGCTGGCCACTGACTTCCTATAGATAGAATTCTTCTTACTTTTATTTAAAAATTTAACTCCATACATATTTTAAAGCTTCCTGCTGCTGTGACAAAGAGGGGACCTGGTGCCGTAAGGAGATGTGCTCTCCTGACTCTCTCGGCAAAAGGGAGAGAGCGAGGACAGTAGGGTCTCGGGGCCTGGAAGAAGGGGGCACCGGGTGAATGTCATGGCCCTCAGAGCGGGCTCTGTGCACCTGCCCCGAAGCCAGCAGGGCAGCTGCTGCCTGGGCATTCTGCAGCTCCCTGGGCCATTAAGGAGCCCACCCCCCAAGGACCGAAGTATGGGGTGGAGGGTCCTCTGTGTCTTCCACTTAGATACTAGGATGGAAACTTGAGTTTGAGCCGCCCCCCCCCCTCCTTTAAAAACCAGTGCCAGGGATCTCGCGTGCATTTGAGCCCAAATCACTCTCCATCATGGCAACAGGGTTGCCAGGTAGCTGCAAAGGTCTGTGTGCACGTGCAGCCAATCACTCCTGCCCTTGTGTTCGCGCGTGAGGGGACTGTTTGTCAAATTTGTTTTCCACTTCAGATGCTTTCATTCAGCTACAGTTATATTCTCGGGGCTGGCAGGATTTTATCAATTCATACATTGTGTTGATAGCCCCAGAGTTACAAACAGCAGAAATGTATTGCCTGTGTCAGAAGACACCCTCCTCAGTACTTAATCCTACAGTAGACTTGTTTAGATTCAGCCACGACTGAGTATTTTGGGGCTTATTAGTAAAAATAAATAGAAGCTGGAAATTCAGAGGGCTTTATGTTAATAATGGTGAATATAAGCATTTGTAGCACCGTCATAAAAGGTTGATTTGCTGCCTCCTGTCCTAAACTGTAGGGTCCTGAGGACGGATCCACTGTGTCTCCAGGCTTCTTAGCCTTAGGGCCTGGTACAGAATAGATGACCAACAGGTACATGGGGAATGAATGGATGACTGAAGTCTACAGCATGTTCCATGTTCTTTCTGTGCTTCTCACTTGTACCAAAAAGTCCATCTCCTCAGTCTGAGTCCAGGTTGGCCAGGAAGACATTCAACTGTTTCCAGTTTTCCTTTTCAATTCCCTCTCACAAGAACATACTAGTTTCCATCTGCCTTAACCACAATTTCCATACACTTCAACACTGAGAGCCAGACATTGTATATTTAAAACAAATTTTGGAGACGACTTCCATCTTTAAAAAATGAAAACAAAATCCTAGGCCAGGGAAAAGTACGGAGAGGGAGGAAACCAAGGATGGGAAAAACTGTGAGAAAAAAAAAGTAAGAAAAATAAAACAGGGAGTAAAAAATACAGCGATATAGAAGCTTTTAAAATATTGTATTTTGGGCATCCTGCCCAATCCGTGCTAAAAATTGGTTCTCTGCTTGACTTGAGATTTTATTACGTTTGACAATCAACATACTATGTGCGAGGGCAGATGGTCACTTAGGCTATGCCTATTATAGTTTTCAGGATGTTATCTGTGTTATAATTTGTGATGAAGTTACACACAGAAGTATAACTAACATTCAACAAAACGGTCACTCCAGTTCTGAGTCAGCCCATGTGCTTCACGGCTTAGCTGATCCATTCAACTTAGGGTCCTACTCTCCTTTTCTAAAGCAGATACTTTGTAACATTTCAGATTTCTGGCTTTCACTGACCTTTCTTTGACCCCCCCACCCCAAATTCACTAATTCTCACACTCTCAAGTCATCTAACTCCCATAGTAGCTGCACTGTATGTAAATTTGGAAAGGTTTCCTCTTTGTCCTATGCTACCGAGAGCAGACTAAAATTATTCCCCATCTCGCAGATAAGAGCACTGACCTTTGACAACTGTATCTCATTTTCGGTGGTGTCTAGTTACAGCATCAATGGATCACGTTAGGCCAGACGCGCCGGACGAACTTTTCCCACGCGGTTCTTCCTCTCCCGCATTATGCCCCTGTCTCTCATAAATATTTTGCTTATTGCCTAAAGAACACGGCCAGATTCTAAATCAAGCAGAGGACGCCTTCCCAGGTTCTCATTTCTCTCTGCTTTTCACCACCCCCATGGAGCTCCGGGGTGAAGGTTGGCTTGCCCTTCCTCGCGGGTACCTCCTAGGACAGGATTTACTATTTCATTGTCTCTAAGCTCGGTGCAGGATGTTCAATACCAGTTTTATAGCAATGGCTTAGGATTTCCATTCACTATCCAATATTCTTGCTGACATGTTCAATTGCAATGATATACTATTTTCTTCCCTTAAAAAAATAGCCCACGAGTGTTTCAATGATTAGCACAGTTGTGAAGATGGTACTACGGCTACAGCAGACAGCAGTGAGGCGAAATGAGGGCAGATTCCCTGTTTCCAAGCCAGGTTTCCATCTCATGTAAATTTCAATAAAAAGCGTGTTTGCGGGGGAGCTGGTGAGGGGAGAGCCCTCAGAGATCTACCTGGGTAAGGATGCGTACTGTCTCTCCATCCCCTCGTAGCGGAGGTTGTGTGCATTCCCATCTGGACCCTTTCCAGACACCTGTGGAGAGAAAAGTAATTAGAGATGAAGACCCATTCTGCACCCTGGTTACTGACAATGCAGCTCGAAATTATAATCAGCGCACAAATGCTGCTGCCGCCTGCCAAAAATCCACCACGGGAAAGCAAGCGGGCCCGGCACTGCTACGCAAATTGACGATCAAGCCACAAACACGCATTTAACAACAAAGTCACTTCTTTCAAAAAAGGGTCACTGTCAAAATGACTCCTTCCTGTCACCATGCCAAGGATCACATGTAGGCTGTAAGAACAGTTAAAAAAAATAAATAAAGGCTTTAATTTTTATGGCAGCTTTAGATTTACAGGAAAATTGAGTAGTACAGAGTTCCCATAGATGGTTTTCCTATTACTAACATCTCACATGAAAATGCAATCGATGAATCAATATCGATACATTATTGTTAACTACAGCCCATAGCTTATTCAGATTTTTACTCAATGTCCTTTTCTGTTCCAGGATCCCATATCACACTTCGTCATCATGTCTCCCTAGGCTCTTCTGGCTGTGACAAGGACCGGATTTTCCACTGCACCTTTTCAGGGAGACCTGTCTTTCCTACAGTTGTTGGAGACAGCTATATGCGCTCCACAGCTCCCAAGGAGCCCTCCCCCGCCAGACCTCACTGAGTTCCCTTGCTATGAACAACCAGAGAGAAGGGATGAACTAGGTTCTGTCTAGTGTTGGTCTTTACTGTTTTCCCCTTTCCTGTGCACTTCCTGTTCCACCTCTCTCCAGGTCTCTTCTGCGAGCCTCTGACATTCTGAAGGGCAGTGTCCCAGGACAGTCCTTCTGTGTCTGCCATGCCAACTAAAATCAGGATGAACACTTACAGGTACAGTGATACCTCGGTTCTCGAACATAATTCGTTCCAGGAGGACGGTCGAGAACCGAATTGTTCGAGAACCGAAGCAATGAAACCCAATAGGAAAGCGTGACTCCACAAAGCGTGACTCTCTCTCTGCACTCACACTGATGGCGCAAGCAAGGCGCGCTGGGCCGAATGAACGCCATTCGGCTCAACTCGGCTCATCTCGGAAGTTCGAGTTCCAAATATTTGTTCAGATTCCAAGACAAAAGTTTCTCGAATCTCCTGGTCGAATACCGATTTGGTCAAAAGTCAAGGCGTTCGAGAACCGAGGTATCACTGTATTTAAAAGTACCTGTTGACTGACCGACGCCTCACCTGTTCATGTCAACACGTGTGGCTCTGGGGGCCACTCACCTGCCTGCTCTCGTGCTGGGGCAGCCTCACGTCATGGGCATGAAAGGGTAAGTGGTAAATAGAAAACCGGGGCTGCCGTTTTGGAGGGACGGGAGAGTGTACTAGGAAGTAACAGTGTCAAGGTCAGTAGGAACATTTGTCTAGGCAGCACTCAACCTGAAGTTATTTTCTTCCTACTCAAAGTCCCGTTCTCCATAAAACCGCTGTCCCATCCCAGGGTGTGGAGGGAGGGTTTGCTAGGGAGTGCTGCAAAGCAAGTGTACACACTCATTTAGAGTAAGAAGGACTATTCCTGGTGTTGATTAATACAGGAGGCCCGTCAGAGTGGGTCCTGTGAAACCTCTTCGCACCCCACCGACACCTGGAACAGGAGTGGCTGGGGTTATCTGAGAGGACAGCCACCCAGGGGGCGACCTAGGCTGGACAGAGACTGCACAGAACAGCAGAGAGGGTTTAACATGGCCTTCCCAGCAGAGGCCAGAGGAGGGGTAGTGTCAGGCAGACAGTCTGGCGCAGAAAGGGCAGTGAAGGAAAGAAGTGATGTTGCCAGCCATTCCCATCTACGGTTTCTTTTGTTTTTATATTTTTTATGGAGGAAGAGTTAACATAAACACAAACACGATGTGAAAGATTCTGAACAGTGGTTGTTGGAGAAGATCATACTTATGTGTCCCTACTGTGGCCGTACACGTTTACAGCTCATCTTTTTCTTGGGGCCACAAAACTCCAAGTTGAAACTTTCAGCAGAGACACCTAGAACTGGCCTGACCTAAAGATGGCCGTCAACTTCTGGCACGTCCAGGAGGCGTCACCCAAGGCCTGCTGTCCTTCTGGTGGGCGACCTGCATACCAGAGTCTATGAAGTGCAAGGTGATCCGTATCCTTAAGGAGCTTTCTGTCTTGTTGGGAAAATAAGCGTCAGAAAAGAAATAATTAAAAATGCTTTAGGACAATGTCTGATCCAGGGCCATTCAGAATGTTACTAATGGTAGCATAGATGACACCTGAAGGTGTTAGGAAAAAATTCATGCAGGTAGCAGAACATGGGCCAGGCTTCAAATGATGGATGACATTCTTTTTCTTTTTTTGTTAATCCTCACCCAAGGATATTTAAAATTGTTTTTTAGACAGAGTGGAAGCGAAGGAGAGAGAGGGAGAGAGACAGAGAGAGAAACATCCATGTGAGAAAGACACATGGATTGGTTACCTCCTGCACAACCTCCACCAGGGTCAGGGGTCGAACCTGCAACCCAGGTACATGCCCTTGACCAGGAATTGAACCTGAGACCCTTTAGTCCTTGGGCTGATGCTCAAATCACTGAGCAAAACCAGTCAGGGCTGGATGACTTTCTTTCTTTTTTTTTTATCCTCACCTGAGAATATTTTTCCATTTTTTGTACAGATAGAATGGGAGGGAGAGAGAGGAAGGGAGAGAGAGAGAGAAACATCGATGTGAAGGGACACAATGAGTGGCTGCCACCCGCACAACCAACCAGGGCCGGGGACAAACTGCAACCGAAGTACGTGCCCTTAGCGGGAACCGAACCCGGGTGTCTCCGGACCGCAGGCCGACGCTCTAACCGCTGAGCCAAACTGGCCAGGGCTGGATGACTTTCTTTTACATCAAAATTATTCTGGCCCTGGCCGGTTTTGCTCAGTGGTTAGAGCATCAGTCTGCAGACCAGAGAGTCCCAGATTTGGTTCCCGCTAAGGGCATGTACCTCGGTTGTAGTTTGTCCCTGGCCCTGGTTGGGATCGTGTGGGTGACAACCACTCAATGTGTCTCTCTCACACTGATGTTTCTTTCTCTCTCTTCCTTCGTCTCTCCCTCCCACTCTATCTGAAGATAAATGCAAAAATGTCCTCGGGTGAAGATAAAAAATAAAAAAATTATTCTGTTCTTCACCAATTGTGTATATATTTAATGTGCATTACTAATATCACAACATCTTCAAGGCCATCCTTCAATTAGTGATGCTGAGCACCTGCTGCATCCTAATGCCATGCGACGGGCTGGGTTTCTTCATCACGTCCAACAGGGGAGACGGTCCTGTGAACAATTATGGTCCAAAGAGATCACCGCTGGCCTGTGGGTCCGGGAAAGGAGGGGCGGGAGCCTGGGGAACAGATATCGAAGTCCACCTGGGAGGGCTGAAGACAGCTTCCTATGGGTGCTGAACCCTCCTCTGTGACCTGGCTGGGGCCGAGGAGGAGGTTTCTAGGGGTGGAGGCTGTGTGAGCAGCAGGAAAAGGCATTCTAAGGAGCAGGAACACAAGTGAAACGACGGGGAGGCATCAAAAAAGCCCTGTGTTTTCTGGAAATGTCAAGATTTGGGTGAAGGAAGAGACCGAGGCTCTGAGGAAAAGGACATGTGTAACAACCAACAATACCACTGGGGCTACTCCTACGGCTACAACCACTATCGCCGCCACCGCCTGTTTTCCTCTTCGGTTTAAATTGACCCGATTCTTCAGAGCGGGTCTATGCTCACAGCAACACCGAGAGGAGGGAACGGAGAAGTCCCACCTGCCGCCTGCCCCTGATGCACAGCCTCCCTCATTATCAGTACCGCCCCCCAGAGTGGGCATCTGTTACCAGTGATGAGCCTGCACTGGCACATCGTGACCACCCGCCGTCCATAGTCTGTGTTAGGGCCCACTTTGCTGTGGTACATTTTATGGACTTGGACCTATGCATTACGTAGATCCCCCATTACAGTTTCATCCAAACTATTTTCACTGCCCTAGAAACTATCCGTGTCTGCCTGCTCATCACTCCCCCACCCAACCCCGGGCAACGACTGAACTTTTTATTGTCTCCATCGTTTTGACTTTTCTAGAATGTCATGTAGTTAGAACCATCTAGTACGTAACTATTTCATATGGGCTTCTTTTACCTTGTAATATGCATTTAAGTTTCCTCCATGTCTTTTCATGGCTTGATAGCTCATTTCTTTTTAGTGCTGAATAATATTCTATTGTCTGGATGTGTCACAGTTTATTTATCCATTCACTAACTGAAGGACATCTTAGTGGCTTCCAAGTTTTGGAGAAAATGAATAAAGCTTCTGTTAACATCCATGTGCAGGTTATTGTGTGGACAAAAGTTTTCAGCTCCTTCCCGTAAGTACCAAGGAGCATGACTGCTGTGTCATATGGTGTAAGTATGTTCAGTTTGGTGAGACACTGACCAGCAATCTTCCAAAGCAGATGTACCATCCTGCATTCCCACAGCGAAGAATGAGAGTCCCTACGGTTCCACATCCTCCCCAGCGTTGGTTGTTGTCAGTGTTCCAGATTTTGGTCATCTAATGGGTGTGTAGTGAAATCTTACCATTGTTTTCGTTTGCATTTCCCTGGTAACAAATGATGTACAGTATCTTCTCGTATGCTTATTTACCATCTGAATATCTTCTTTGGTGAGGTCTTTGGCCCACATTTTAATTGGGTTGTTTGTTTTCTTATTGTGGGGTTTTAAGAGTTCTTTGTATATTTTGGATAATAGTCCTTATCAAATAAATCTTTTGCAAATATTTCTACCATTCTGTGGCTTTTCTTTTCATTCTCTTGACAGAGTTTTTTGCAGAGAAGACATTTTTTATTTTAACAAAGGTCAGTTTATCAATCCTTCTTTTCATGGGTCATCCTTTGGTGTCATGTCTAAAAAGTGATTGCCAAACCCAAGGTCATCTAGATTTTGTTATCAATGTTGTATTCTAGAAATTTTATAGTTTTGCATTTTACATGGAGGTCTGTG